ACACACACACACACACACACACACACACACACACACACACACACACACACACACACACACACACACACACACACACACACACACACACTCACTCACTCACTCACTCACTCACTCACTCACTCACTCACTCCTCACTCACTCACTCACTCACTCACTCACTCACACTCTCACTCTCTTACTTTCTCTCTCCTCTCTTTTCACAACCCATTTCTGTCAGAAAGTGCCCTGGTGTTCAGTCTCTCCACCGTGTGTGTGTGTGTGTGTGTTGAGTGTGCGAGCATGACTCCAGAGACATGCCACGAGTGTGTATCCAGAGAGTAATCAGGTAATTGATCATACAGACAGGTAATCATTCCTGTGCCAGACTCTCTGGCTGCGAGTGGTCGGGCAGCATTAGGGAAACATGTCCTCAAACACAGTACACAGAGAAAAACAGTCAGGCTTGCCGGCAGCAGCTAACGCTGAGAGAGAATTAGATCGAGGACACATTACAAATATAGAATCCCTAGAATGATTGGCAATGCCACAACAATTCTACGAATTCTACATGTGCAAGTTCCAGTCAAGCTAACAGTTCTTAATCATGAGAATGAATCATAAAGCTTCTTTGACACCTTTTCTGTGTAATGTGCTGAGCAGATGGCTGGTGAACCTAAAAAACAACTTCATTTGACTACGGTAATATTTGTTCCATGATATGTCATGCACTTCTTTAAAACATTTGCTCAGATGAACCAGAACAGAAGGCAAGGGTTTTATATGAGTAATTGCGGAAGAGATCTTTAGAGAGCTGCTTAGACCGAACAGTGATTTACATCGATCGATATTCCAGCAGAGGTTTATTTTAACAGCTGCATCAAACATTCCCATAGATGATAATGTTTTATGTTGTGGTATCTTGGCAGTCATTAAATATTAAGTTTTACTCGAGCAGGACAGGACTGTAATGGAAAATGATCTCACCAAACTTGAGTGACTGGTAAACCTGCTTTTACTTGTGAAGTGATACACAACACGCCCCAGTGACTAAGATATGCCAATATGAAATTTGTTTAAAACAAAAAAAAGAGAAATAATGGATGCTGCATTTTTGCAGAACCTGACATTTACCCAGGCCTATACTCTTCCTTTCCATCAGTTCTCCCAATAATAATAATAATAGTTGGATAACAATAACAGTTGTATAAAATTTTAGAGGTAGAGTGATGCCGAGGATCCAGGCAGCCGTGACGGAGCTATAGTGATGATTGCCCGAGAGATGTAGGTGGGGATCTGGAAGCCAGAGGCAGCGACTGAGGAAGGAGGCGGAGCCTGAGTGAGGGTGGAGCGGGCCATAGCCGAAGGGGTGGAGGGCCGGAGAGCAGCAGACCGGCTGCAAGTCCGCAGTGGAGGCATGACGAAGTCCGACCCAGGTGGAGCCGACTGACCAAGGGAGCCTGGCAAGGCCGAATGGCCGATGGCCAATGCCAGAATCGAGAGTGGGAGGAGCTCAGGTGCAGGTGTCAGGACAGCGGGATTAGGGAGATGGTCCTCACTGTAGAACACAAGATCCAGGGGGCGTGATTGGATCCAGGTCCAGCTCCACCCACCTTACATATACCTAAACCTACCCGTCTCCACCCCTGATCCCTAAACCCACTCATCTCTACCCCTAAACCTACCCATCTACCCATCCTACCATGCCCCCTGGATCTTGTGTTTTGCAGTGAGGGCCTACTGGGATTAGGTGGAGCAGAGCCATCTGAGGCCAGAGGCGGAGCCACAGGCTCCTCAGGTCCAAGAGACGAAGACTCCCAACAGGCCCGAGATGGAGCCCCACCACTGAGAGGAGGTGGCGTAGAGGGACTGACGGGGGATGAAGATGACTGGACAGTAGGAGTGACTAAGGACTCAGGAGAATGAAAAATTGCACGAAATCCAATCAAAAATATGAAGTCTCTTAAAGCAATTTGGAGAGGAGGCAGGAGAGGGAGGCTGGGCGGGACCAGCGAGTCAGATGAACATAACTAGGCAGACTCAGGGGAAGGAAAGTCTCTCCAAACTGAAAAACAGTGTCCAAGTCCAGTAAACACTCACTCTCAGTGGCGGGAGGGTGGGCGTCACTTGCTTCCATTCCCTCGTACTCCACGAGAATTCCCTCTGGCCAGACGCGTCAGTCGGTTCAGGCTACAGGGTGATGACAGGCTCAGTCGCTTCTTCTCGCGATGGCTCTTCAGTCGCGGTGGGCTCTGGCTCTCCATGATCCATTGACCAAAACAAACAAAAAACACTGACAAACCAAAAAAATTAAATGAGATAAAGGCACTTATTTTCTTTTTGGGTCCGGTCTTCTGTGACAGCTACGCTGCTAACAATAAACACAGGAAGAAGAAGAAGGTTTATAAAGTCTTTAATCCAACACACTGGTAATCCAACACAGAGGTAGCATTATCATAGACGTAGACGAGACCGGACAAACTAGTGCTGCATTCAAGCCATGTCATAATTATTGTGATTTCGAGATGACAACACCTGCCGTTCTACTTGGAGTTGTTCACACCCTTGGACTCAGAACTCGCACTATCAATGCCTAAACATAGCTGAGGTGGTCAGATGGTACAAGCTGTAGCTCTCAGAAAACTCCCAGTTCACAAGTTTATTCCTAGCTACTAGTTGCCACTTTTTTGCACTCATCTTCACAGTACAACACAATGTTTGTTAAAGACACAGATTCGTTTTTTTTATTTATGGATGTTTGTATATCCAAGGACTATTTTTCTGTGGTATTTTTTTGTTGTTCTGTTGTTGTTTTTCATCTTATGAGAGTTTTCCTCATTCAGTCTCTCTCTCTTGTGGCACAGATTCCCACTGGGAGCATGTTCTTACAATATTTGACTGCAGGATAAGATCACTGTCTGCCAGACGGAATTGCCAAGTCTAGCATGAAACCAGGGCTATGGACTAATCACGAAGTTGAAAAGCAACAAAAGAAAATATAGAAAGAAAGCAGCGCCGTCAAATTAATTTAGCCCCAGCATGCCGCCACTGCACACGGGAGAGAGTAAGAATTTAGGGTTCGATAGGAGGAGAAATATGGGTGAGAGAAAGAAAAGGAGGGAGAGGGTGAGAGAATGGAAGATACTGAAAAGGAGGCAGAGAGAGATAGAGAGAGTTGCTTTGTGTCTGTTCAGCCTGAGACGGGGGGAGAGGACACCGGGGGGTCGTGTTTGTGTGTCATGAGAACCCTGCAGACGCTGCCCACTGGGGGTCTGAAACAAAGTTGAAAGGAGTGATTCCCTGTGTGTTCAGAGAAATAGCACACTCTTCATTAATTATGTATTTCTCCTATAGAAAGCCTGGCAAACTCACTCAGACACCCAGCACTAAGCCGGCTTCCTGTAGCCATAAAGGAAAAGCAGGAAGAGAAAAGAGGATCACAACAGCAGAATCGGAATGTGGAGAAAGTGACTTTTGTAACATTTTAAACTCGTGGAAAATAACAGGTCATTGCATTACAATACAATTTGCCATGCTTTCACAGTCAATTTATTGCAAATAAATGACGGCTGTAAATGGTGAAATCCATTTATTAATTCAATTTAACAATAAAAACAATATTTTTTTGTGTTTTAGAAATAAAATGTAATAAATAATTACAATTATTTTTACTTTCCATATTAAGGTCATTTGGGAGATAGTAGTAGTAGTAGTAGTAGTAGTAGTATTGTATTATATAGTATTGTTATTATAAAATTTATTTTATTATTACATTGTATATAATTTATTGCAATTAAATGACACATATATTGTGAAACCCATTTCCTTCTCAAAGTAAAAAATAAAAAGGTAATTGTGACTTTATTTCTCACAGTGTGACAATTTCACAACTTAATTTAATTTAATTATTTTATTTTTAGACAGAAAATTACCTAGCCTGCACTGATTTCTTCCAATAATAATAATAATACAGGAAATAACAGAAAACCCTGATGTACATCATTTACAATGAAACAAAAAACATCAGAAATGACCATCAGATAAACAGAGAATTCTTGGAATGTCAACTTAAGTTTATTCACAGTAAATTATAAGATTTGATCATTTTTTTTACTTCCAAAATTTTATATTTAACACCGTTTTACTGTCAAATTACACTCTTTAAAAAAAACAAAAAAAAACATTTTTTTCCACAAGATAAATTTACAAGAAATTACTTTTTTCAGTTTTTCTACTTAAAAATGTCATGTTTAATTCAGTGTATTCCTCGCTGTTTCTTTGTAAATAATTGTGAAATTTACTATCAATTTCTGAGTGAAACAAAAATGGTTTCTACACCAATTTTTTTCAGTGTACATGAAATGTCCCATTAAATCTAGAAACTTACCTTTAATTTAAAATATTTATTTTACAATTGAAATTACAATGATTTTTTTTTTGCTGGATGTTGGGGATTTCTCGTTGTATTGGCTGTGTAAATTCCTACATAATCATTCAGCAAGTCTCATGTTGAAACACTGTACAACTGTGGTCAGATGGCCAACCTGTGGCCATGTCCTCTGTGGCAGCATCCGAGCGCGTGGATCCCGGTTACCCCCTCCTCCTCGCAGGCCTGCCTCTCTCACGCCTGTCCTTGAGGATAACCTGGCAAGGACACGGTTACCCAGACACAAGGTGGAAACTGCAGTGTGTGCACGCTTTGATTTAAGAGAGGACCGTGGTTTTCATTTGTCATTGATTCTGTCCTTTGAGACGAGCGGAGGAAAAGAAGGGCCAAATTGTGTGGGTGGCTGATTTCTCAGTGTCTTGTTGGTTGTGGATGTCTCAGCATGTTTGGACTTCTGCAGGCTTGTTGAGGTGATGCACACAAGGTTATTTCTGGATTCCACAGAATGCTTGATGCGTATCTGTTCCCAAGTCCCCCGAGAGACAGTTGTCAAAAAATATTCTAAATTTGAGGTGCTATTTTAATCTTTTTTATTTGACATCTTTCAGTGATTTTACTTTATATTATATCTGTAATGTGCACAGCAGATTTGACTGAATGTCAAAAGGATTTAATCTTAGGGGACAAAGTTGAAAGGAGTGATTCCCTGTGTGTTCAGAGAAATAGCACACTCTTCATTAATTATGTATTTCTCCTATAGAAAGCCTGGCAAACTCACTCAGACACCCAGCACTAAGCCGGCTTCCTGTAGCCATAAAGGAAAAGCAGGAAGAGAAAAGAGGATCACAACAGCAGAATCGGAATGTGGAGAAAGTGACTTTTGTAACATTTTAAACTCGTGGAAAATAACAGGTCATTGCATTACAATACAATTTGCCATGCTTTCACAGTCAATTTATTGCAAATAAATGACGGCTGTAAATGGTGAAATCCATTTATTAATTCAATTTAACAATAAAAACAATATTTTTTTGTGTTTTAGAAATAAAATGTAATAAATAATTACAATTATTTTTACTTTCCATATTAAGGTCATTTGGGAGATAGTAGTAGTAGTAGTAGTAGTAGTATTGTATTATATAGTATTGTTATTATAAAATTTATTTTATTATTACATTGTATATAATTTATTGCAATTAAATGACACATATATTGTGAAACCCATTTCCTTCTCAAAGTAAAAAATAAAAAGGTAATTGTGACTTTATTTCTCACAGTGTGACAATTTCACAACTTAATTTAATTTAATTATTTTATTTTTAGACAGAAAATTACCTAGCCTGCACTGATTTCTTCCAATAATAATAATAATAATAATAATAAAGTTGTTTAAGATTTTATCATTTAAGATTTTATAATACAATATTGTAAATATTATTACTAAAACTGTATTTTATTACTACATTTATTTTGCTATATGTTTCATAAATAACTTAGTTTAATCATTTAATTTTTAATATTTAATATTTAAACTGATCGTTAAAAGTGCAGTCATTTTATTTCAATAATAAATAACTTTTTTATTTTTAGGCACAGAAAATGACCTCACCTGAGTTAATTTCACAAGAAAAATACACTGTTTTATTGTAAGAAATTATTGTGAAATCTGAATTTTTACAGTATAATGATAAGGTAACAAATGTTCTATCCGCAAGAAGAAGAAAAAAAAAACTAAACAAACCAATAATCAGGTTCTCTTGACAGATGAGTTGTGCAATGTAGATCCACCATGCAAAAGACATTTAAAACCTCTGTGCACCAGCTAGCTGGAAAACAAAATGCTGGGAAGATGAATTGTGCCCACAGAGGACGTATTTCACCATATCCCTAAAGCCATTTGCTTAGAGGTTATTAGAGTTTAGCCTTTTCAAGGAAACCTGAGTGTGATTGTGCAGCCCATAGCTGAAATATGGGTTGACTGCTGTTCCCGTATCTCTGAGCTGCTCTTCATGCTGGAATGCGAGTGTCCCTCGAGCAAAAGTAATTGTTATGTAATCAGTCTGTGCGATAGAAATCACCAGAGCCACATTAATGGTTTGAACATGATCTGGAGATCCTGGCAGTGGACCTGTGTTCAAGAGACAGACTGAACACTTCAATTGTTCATCAAAACTCTTGCAGACTGTTGGTGGTTCAAATCACACACACACTGATGTTTTTGCTTGAGGGCTCTCAAACTTTCACAGAGCTGGAGTTTATGAGTTGTAAGTTTTCTGTGGAAATGCATTTGAAGTAACTGTCAAAACATAATAAACATCCTGATGATGCAAATGGGAGTGACAGTTTTATATAAAAAATAAAATCTAAATAATAGGAAGAAATGCTGAAATGAGAGATGTTTTTGCTTACCCGCTTAGACAACAACAACAATAATAAAAATGAGTATTTATGTATAATTGATATTTATAAATAATTAGTTATTGACATTATTATTATATTACTGTTTTTATTATTACTACTAGTATTAGTAATATAATAATAATGGATGTTGTTATTGTTGTTTTTGTAATAGTATAAAAAATAATAGTAATACAAATAATAGTTATCATTATTCTAAATATTAATTTTATTAATAATTATTATAGAAATATTTTTCTTATTTTTATTGGGTTAATAATTCTTATAAATATTTATATTATTATTAATATAGTTTATATTTAGAACAAGAATAATATAAATACAAATAATAGTTATTATTCTAAATGAATAAAAAATGAAATTCTTAAATTTTATTAATAATAGATTAATTATTGTAAATTATTGTTAGTAGTAGTATTATCGATTTTTTTTCCTTTTGGTCTTGTTAAGCTATAATGCAAGTATAAATAAAATGTACATGATAGTTATTTTTAATGTAAGCAGGTAAAGTCCATAAATTATGAATTATTATTAGTTGTATTATTAGTATAGATTTTTCTTGTTAGTCTTGTTTAGTTATAATGCAAATATAAATACAATTATTATGATCATTGCTTTTATTATGTAAGCAGGTAAAGTCCATAAAATAACTAGAATCAGACAGTAAAATATCATGTAATATCATAAAGATAAACTTGGATAAGACAGACACACACACTTATATCACCATATATCTATGAAGTAAGCATGAATTAGTATCAAAGGTGACTTTACTCATGCAGTTATTAAAGCAGCTTACAGTACAGGGCTCTGCTGCAGCACTGATATGAGCATGCATTATTCATAAGCACTGAGCAAGTGTGTAAATTGTTTTGCCAGGGTGCATGTAGAAACAGTTTATGGTATATCTCTCCATGCCTAATGCTATAATACCCATATTGATTCCAACCGTTTTCAATTTTACACACACGTGCGCACACACAGTGCCAGATTGCACATCCTTGCCATATCCTCCACAGAGCATATTACTATTTATCATCAGTGTTTATCGCACACTTGTCACACTTTATAGCTCTTTGTGTTAACACCCATTATATTGTGCCTTTTGCTATTGCGGTTTCACTCTTTCCTGCGGCCTGGTGCACAAGAAGCGTTTCACTGATTATGTGTGTGTCCACTGGCCTTTCTGATAAGAGACAGTCTGTCACACGCAAGACATCACCTGCCTCAGTTACAACTCCATAAATACTGTCAAATAAATACTCCAAATGTAATGTAACAATCTCTTTTACATTAACTTACATTTCTACAGCAATTTAAAGTGGGACACTGTAAAAAAAAAAGAGTGTCGAATTTACAGTTTCTTGAATTAACACATTCAATTAAACATTAAAATGTAAATAGTATTTTCTTGTAAAATGTACTCCAAATATTCCTTGTTTTATCCAAAAAATGTTGTTGTTGTTGTTTTGTTTTTTGAAGTGCAGGTGGATCAGAAGTAGCTTTTCTACAAGCTGAGGTAAATACTAATATATAAAAGGTGTACAATGTCATACACACAAATACAAGTCGTGCTAACACACGACACTAAAAGAATCTAATAAACATTCATTTAACAACAGGAAATAACAGAAAACCCTGATGTACATCATTTACAATGAAACAAAAAACATCAGAAATGACCATCAGATAAACAGAGAATTCTTGGAATGTCAACTTAAGTTTATTCACAGTAAATTATAAGATTTGATCATTTTTTTTACTTCCAAAATTTTATATTTAACACCGTTTTACTGTCAAATTACACTCTTTAAAAAAAACAAAAAAAAACATTTTTTTCCACAAGATAAATTTACAAGAAATTACTTTTTTCAGTTTTTCTACTTAAAAATGTCATGTTTAATTCAGTGTATTCCTCGCTGTTTCTTTGTAAATAATTGTGAAATTTACTAGCAATTTCTGAGTGAAACAAAAATGGTTTCTACACCAATTTTTTTCAGTGTACATGAAATGTCCCATTAAATCTAGAAACTTACCTTTAATTTAAAATATTTATTTTACAATTGAAATTACAATGATTTTTTTTTTGCTGGATGTTGGGGATTTCTCGTTGTATTGGCTGTGTAAATTCCTACATAATCATTCAGCAAGTCTCATGTTGAAACACTGTACAACTGTGGTCAGATGGCCAACCTGTGGCCATGTCCTCTGTGGCAGCATCCGAGCGCGTGGATCCCGGTTACCCCCTCCTCCTCGCAGGCCTGCCTCTCTCACGCCTGTCCTTGAGGATAACCTGGCAAGGACACGGTTACCCAGACACAAGGTGGAAACTGCAGTGTGTGCACGCTTTGATTTAAGAGAGGACCGTGGTTTTCATTTGTCATTGATTCTTTCCTTTGAGACGAGCGGAGGAAAAGAAGGGCCAAATTGTGTGGGTGGCTGATTTCTCAGTGTCTTGTTGGTTGTGGATGTCTCAGCATGTTTGGACTTCTGCAGGCTTGTTGAGGTGATGCACACAAGGTTATTTCTGGATTCCACAGAATGCTTGATGCGTATCTGTTCCCAAGTCCCCCGAGAGACAGTTGTCAAAAAATATTCTAAATTTGAGGTGCTATTTTAATCTTTTTTATTTGACATCTTTCAGTGATTTTACTTTATATTATATCTGTAATGTGCACAGCAGATTTGACTGAATGTCAAAAGGATTTAATCTTAGGGGCTCTGTCCCC